TTCTAAATGACGTCAAAAATTTTATTAGATTATATAAAAAAATCAATTGATCGAGAGGAAAAAGTAACTATGAGGAAAAAGTAACTATAGGGAAAAAAAAATTCTACAAATAAACTCTGTGTCACGTTATAAGGTAAAATATAATTTGAATTAAAATATGAAATTAAAAATAAAAAAAATAAAAAAATTATGCTCCGTGCTCCACGGAGCAATTTGGAGCATTTTTGCTCCAAATAGTTTGGAGAAAAATGCTCCAAACTCTTTTTTTCTTTTTTTTTTTTTAAAACTGTTTGTTCAAACAGTCCCCCCACAAATAATCAATTTCAGAAAAGTGATGTAAATTATATTGAGAAAATTTTTGCGAAAAAATAATAAATATTAATAAAATAATAATTGTTTTTTATGATGTAAAAATCCATAATAAAATTATTATCGCCCTACTCTTCTTTGTTCATTTAAGCAACATCTATAAAAAAATATATTTTTTATATTCTTTCGAACTCATTTCGAGAATTATATTATAGACATATCGAATGATTTAAATGAATATCGAAAATAGTTAAATGTACATCAAACACGTGTCTTAAAAAAGTTGACAAAAAAAATATTAATCGTCCAATTAAAAAAAAATTGGCTCCGCGTATGTGTGTGTGTGTGTATATATATATAGAGAGAGAGAGAGAGAGAGAGAGAGAGCAAATTTGCTCCGCGCTGCGCGGATCATTTTTAGGAATTTTTTTGCTTGAATCAGTTAATTTTTTAAATAATCTATTAAATTTTTTTCTTCATTTAGAAAGTTTTCTAATAAACTTTTAAATTATTTTAATGTTAAAGGAGACATTATTTAAAAAATTAAGAATTTCGATAACAGGTTAAATTTAAAAATTCATCGACAATTGTACGGTAGTCGAATTCATTAATCTTCTATATTTTTTCGAAGCTCGTTTCGAGACACATTGAATGATCTAAATGAATATCGAAAATAGTTAAACATTACATTTAAAAATGCGTATAAGTCGTCTTTTTTCTTAAAAAATCAATTATTTTATGAATGTTTTTTTTTTCGCGACAACTTTTTAATATAATTTACATCATTTTCTAAAAAAAAAATTATGTGTATGACGTCAATTTTTTTTTTTTTTTTTGATGTAGAATAAATATTTACAACATTAGAAAGTATGTTTTCATAATAAAAGATGCCACATAAAAAGAAGAAAATAACTATAATTGGGGATTTGAAAGGAAAACAGCGAATTTTGACCTTGAAAACGATGCCACGACGTGCGTGTAGAAAAATGCTTTTCGAATTGGGGTTATGGGCGTGATTTTGATAACCATCACCAAAATTATGGTCAAATTACCAAAAATAAGTACTAAAAAAATAAACAAAAGAAAAAAGAGAGGGCCTCCACGCTGCGCGGAGAGTTGGTGAAACACTACGCGCAGCACAGAGTGGGATACTCTCCGCCAGAACCTCTCCGCGCAGCGCAAAGAGAAATCCAGCACTATTTTTTTTACTTTTTCACACTCACAAAAGCTAACAAGCTGTACTGTAGCTATTTAATACAAATAGGACAGCAAATAAAGGAGCTAGCACTTTTTGACTTCAAATTCGTTTCCTAATTAAATATTTAATTTTTTTCCCTTTATTAAAAAAAGAGAATCCCACTTTAATTTCTTCTCACATATCACTGTTTCTTATGTAACGACAAAACATAGAAGCCAGAATTTTTGACTTTAAAATTAACAGCAAATTCGATCGTATTCACTTTGTTCAGAGTGCTAATTAATGCAAGTTGACAGCAAACAAAGTAGCCAACACTTTTTGACTTCAAATTCTTTCTTGTTTTGTTTTTTGTTAAAAAAAATAAAAAAAAATAATGAAAGATAGACTCCGCGTAGCACGGAGAGAGAAGCAATTTTTTTCTCTGTTTTTATCTTCGGTATAAATCTTTTCTCTTTCTCTCACTTCATTGATTCTCACATTCTCTGTTTTTTGAGTTTTTTTATCGACTCCTCGTTCCACAACAAAATCAAACCCTAAAAAGGAGGAAGAAGAAGGGTAAAATCCAACAAGATGAGACCGAGGCTCGAAGCAAGGTGATAATATCTCATACTCTGACTACTATCATTCAAATCTTGGATTTATGGATTGAATTTCACTTTCTGAGATGCTTTCGGTTTGATTTTTGAAGATGAGGAAGGCATTGAAGTGGAAGGGACGAAGAGTTCTGAGAAATCAATGTCCTTTTGCCCTAAAGTTCCAACGACTGGTTTCGTCCTCCTTAACTGTGTTATTACGGTCAATATAAGGCGAGTTTTGATTTTGATATTTTTTCCCCTTCATAAAAATTGTTTAAATCTCAAAATTTGTGGACGGTGTCTTCAATACAACTCACTTGTTCGAGATTTGGGTTACTCGTTTTTTGGAAGCACCGTTTTTTCTTATTTCTTAAAACAGGTGACTCTTTTTATTTGACTTGTCACCTTCATGTAATCTGGAAAGGTTTTTGTAGTCCATCACTCCTTTCAGTTCCGGCTCAACATTTATTTAACGTTTCATTGCTTGTAAATGAATTGAATTTTTGGAATTCGTACTTAATTAATTTTAATTTATCAGTAATATTAATTATATCATTTCATTGCCTTTATATAAAAGAGTGAACGTTGGCTCTACTGTTCATTTTTCTGCCCTCCGATTCACACTGAAACTGGTTCTTTACTGTTCATTATCTAGTTATTCAATAGGATATAGATATTTTACATAAAGAGCATTTTGCTTTCTTTTTCTTCATTCACTCTCTCTTGCTTTTTCACGAGTTTCTTTCTCGACAAACCGAGCCAAAGCAAGCCATAAGAAGGAGAGCAAAGGTAAGATTCAAACTAATTACTGGAATCACCCTTCAATTTCTTCCAATCATGTAAATTTCTTCAACTTCTTGATCACTTATGCAGATCCTGTGGAAATTTTCCCCCTTTTATAAAAGTTTGACTAAAATTTCAAACAAAGGCACGAGAGAAAATGGAACTATTTTCAGTTCAAGTAAAGATCTTGGAACAACAATACACGAAAATAGTAAAAAGGTCTTATGAGGATTCATAGGTATTCTGGGGAAAATTTCGGGGGTTATCTCTAGATTTTAGAGAGGACGAACGAATTTTTTCTGGTCTTCCTTATTTACTCGAAGATAATTGATGGCAGTTTCTACTACAAAGATAGAATCCTAATATGGTGGATATCAAGTGTTTTGAGGCAATCGATTCTGGCTCTATAATTATATTTAGCTAAAAGGGTGTGTAATTAAGGGAAAATTCTTGGTGGATTATGTAAATACAGAAAGGAGAGAGATTCTCTCAATTTCTGTTGCTTGAAATTCTTCAAATAATATTGCCAGAACCTAGATAGTTTTCATTTTATTTGCATCAGAGGCCTGTTGAAAGAATTTTGTATGTTTGCTTTGGAATTTGAATTTTTCAGTCCTTGGTTTGAAAGGGTGGTCACAACATTATAGAAGAAGAGACCAATACATTTGAAGTTGGGTATACGAAAAGGTTGGAGAAATTCTAGACAAGATAAGATATATGGGGTTGATACCTTCAATGAAGTAAGTGGAGTGAAAATGGGTGCAACGATTTTACATTCTTTGATAGGTGATAATCCGGAATTGCAAAAGCAAACAGGACAGCATTATAGATGAAAAGCCAGTGCATTGGAAGTTGGATATACGAAAAGGTTGGAGAAATTCTAGACAAGACATTTGGGATTTTGATACCTTCATTGAAGTGAGGGGAGTGAAAATGGCTAAAAAGATTTTACATTCTTTAACGGGTGATAATCCAAAATTGCAAAAGCAAACATGATATATGACAGACATCTTTCAACTGTTCGATCATTAGCCTATTCTTACTGGGAGGTGCATCGTTGGCCACAGCACAGAGAGGCTGCCTCCTGGTACATATTTCCCATACTAATTGCTTACTATTGCTTATGATCAATAATCTTGAAGATGAATGTGCTATTTTAATGTTTTTCTTGTAGACGCTATAGACTGTTCACTGATAGAACTAAGTTTGTTTTAGTTCTCCAAAGTGGATTCATTGAATATTAATTTTAAATAAATATGTGATTCTCTTCTTGTTCAATATATTTCGTGCCACCTTTTAAGTTAATAATATATAAGAGAAGCCCTACGAGCATGATACAATGTGTTTTGCCCTACAAGCATGATGCAATTCGGCCCATTTCTTAGCAAAAATAATATGCCCAATATATTGATTTTTGTTTCTTTTCATGACCTATATTTATTATATCATATAAGTTTGCATATATAATGTCCATCGCCTCCTGATGATATTGCTCATTTAATTTTTTGAAGCCTTAATTCCTTGCTTCTAATGGCCTAATAAGAACCCATATCTCAGGTTTAGATGTTCATTTGCAGGAAATGCCCACTTCCATAATGTACATTGGAAACAGAATCTAATACTATAGAACGAATATATGCACCAATGGTAAGAAATGTTTACTTCGATTTTTTCTCTCGTGGAAATATAAGTCCTAAGAATCCACTTAAAGCCCCTCTTGATATTGTAATCTTTTTCTCTATCTCTATTTATATGTGTGTGTGCGTTTATTCAGATTTTTCTTCTAATTGTTAGTTGAAAGTATTTAATTTTGGATTTCATATAGATTTTATTGTCTTCAATGAATTTGGCTTTCTTGTTTCTTCTTGCTTTTTGTGCTCTAATTGATGATGCTACAAAATGCAAACAAAGAAATTAATAATATGATTATTTTCAGATACTTTATTGTTCTTTAAAAAAAGAAAAAGGGATTGATTGATTATCTTGATGCTGATGTCAAAATCAATTTTGATCTGATGATCTCTAGCTTGAAATTGAGTTCCAAAAATTAAACATTAGTGCGTTGCTTCATTTTTATTGCTTCTCTTTAAGTTTACTGAAAGTATTGAAAAGATCTTTGTTTTCCATTTTTTTTTTGTTGGAAAAAGATTTGCTTGGAAATCAGAGGTTTGATTGCTGAGATTTGAGAAAGAAAATAACAATGGCAACTTAGATTCAGGATTTCAATTCTTATTGTATCAGCTTGATGAAATTGAAAAATGCTAGTAAAGATGAAATCGAACACCCTATTTGTTCCTAACTTAATCTCTCTTTTGTCTTTGCAATCCTTAGACATTTATATTCCATTGCACAAATCAGGTAAAACGTGGAGGAGCTGGCAGAGGTAATTGGGGAGCTCAGATTGATAAATTGGCTGAGTGAGTTTCTCCTTGGCGCCTTTGGTAGTACGTCTTTAATCAATAGAATGGCATATACTTTTTCTCATATATCTAATATTGTGATCCTTCTACCATGGTTTCTAGAGTTACCGACAAAGTCGTCAATTATGGTGGGATCAATCTGAATGCTGAAGTATGAACCATCTTTTTATCTATATATTTTGAGTTTTATATGATTTGGAATTTAAAACCCAAACTAGATATACCAGTGAAAATGTTTTGAAACTAAGATTACTTATTTAGAATAACATAAAAGATGTTGTTCTCTCATCAACAAAAATGATTTTGTCTCCGCCTTATGAGTGAACTAAGCAAGCTTATATAAGCCCACCTAAACATCGTATATAGTAATTGTAAACTGGGAAGTGCTAGGTATTTTATACTGCAGTTATTAATGATTCTCTTTATTGAGTTGGAACTTTAGCTTTGGTACTCCTACTAGCCTTTTCTATTTTGTTTCCGGGAACTGAAATCAATTACATCTCCAGGTTGTAGTTTCCTTGCCATTGGTGAATCAAATGTAACTTGTGAAAAGAGGTTGGCATCCATTGTACTTCAAATATATGATAGAAGTATATTGATCCTACCATTGACCTTGGCAAATGTTACCTGTCATAAATGAGTTATGAAAGGTTGTGTCATGCAAATGGCCAGGCTTTACTGGATAAATAACAGAAAAATATAAGGATTTCACGTGTTGAAAAGGGGATTTTTTATTTTAAATCACTTCAAATCTTCGATGCATATTTCATTTGTTACAAGTGATTATATTGATAGAAGAATTTTTTAATCACATCAAATTATTTGTATGTTTCAGATGGAAAGAATGCCCATGTGACAAGGCAACTTATTGAACGTATTATTTGGCATTGAATTTTTATTATCTATATTTTCCCATGATTTAGATTGAATTTTGGTTCTATCAACTTGTTGAATTCTTTTAGTAATGGTATTTGCATTAATGGAATCTGTGAATGGCTAAACCTCAATATCATCTACCATAAGCAACAATAGTAACGACACTCAATCCATGGATGATGAGAATCCCATAAGCCCGGTGACTGACATAGTCCATGAAACTCAAAGAGAGGTGGAAGAAAATTCACAGAAGACCAAATGAATCAATAAAAATGGGAGTTGGGGGGATCACTAACCGAAACAAAGAAAGAAATGAAGTCAGAGGATTCTGAGCACAAGTTGGGGACTAGTTCCGCATATAAGATTAGTTCTTTGTTCAATTTACTTATTGTCATTCTGAATCATGCATAGTGATTTGACATTTATTGGATTGTCGAGTATCAAAATCTGCTGGTAGGATATCATGTTCCATGCGGAGGGGAGAAATAAGGTGCTTTTATTACCTTGACATGATAATTTTTGTCATCTAGGTTTAGAATTTCTGTTGCAGTTCTTCAATGTTATTAGGTTCCATTTGCCATTTAATAAATATTAAAATTTTTTCATAATTATTTCCTACTTTCATGACGTTTGATAATAAAGTTGAATATCTATAATCTTAACTTTGGAGAAGCGAGTATATGAAAAAATGCTATATTATGCATTAAAGGTTTAACAAGAAGCCACCAAAAAAAGGATAAATCTATTATCTAGGAACATTAACATTACCCTCGAAATAAAAATGCCCGTGCAATAGACTAGTATTAATACAAGTGTGCAGCTTCAATATTCCTAAATCCCCTCTTGTGAATGGTTTGAAGATCTAACTCAAAAGGCAAAACAGATAATCCCTCTACAATTGAATTCCCCTTTACTCCAGACCTTAGACGAAAAGGCCAGAGTCATTAACTAGAACGGAATCATTCGAAATCAATGAGGCTCTTGCATGAAAAATTACAATGTTAAATTTGAAAGTCAAACTACCCAGCACTAGTCAATAAGCCACAGTCGTCCCATAAAATGCTCTTTATAAAGAGAAGACTTGGAATACTCTTGGGCTTCAAGCACTAGCCGTGACAGAATACATTTTCATTCATGCTGAAGCAACCCTTTCGTTGTCTAATTATGACAACGAAAAGTTCAAGGATCAAAATGTCTCAATATAAATGTTGTAGAGTCACAAACACACACGATACAGACTTTAGTCAAATAATTATGAGCCCGTTTGGCATAGCTTTTACTTTTGCTTTTTGTAGAAGAACTTTTGAAAATAACTATTTTAATTTTTGTTTGAAAACTAATATTTAAAAACATTTTCTACTTCGAAAGTGCTTTTAGAAAAAGTTATATTGAACCAATTTCTTCTAAAAGCTCTCTAACTACCAAAAGCACTGTAACAAAATTAGCCAAACGAGTCCAAAAAACAACTTTTGAATCCTTTTGAATTTTCAAAAGTCATATCAAACGGACTCTATATAAATGAACATTGGACCTTTTGACAATTTTCCAAATATATTAATGCCAGAACTACTAACCAGCATTTCTGTCGGTCATTCCAGTACCTGACAACATTAACATCTCCTAGGAATATATTTTCCTTAAATGTGCAGCGGGCAAATGGGCAATCTCCCAGTAGCCTAAGCAGTGCCCAAGAATCAAACAAAATAATAAAATTGACTGCAAAATTTCCGTAAACTTCCATTTTAACACGGAACAATTTCTAACTACAAACCAAAGGCATACAGTTTAAAAAAGCCAATTCAGAGTAATGTTGCCAAGCCAAATGAGAAGTGGGAACTGTGCCAAGGCAATGAAGAGCAACAGATAGTGATGCCTGCTTGAATCATAACTCCTCACTTCAGCGAAAAGAACTCTCTTCATTGTCTTCACCAAGAAAATTCCCATGCATAAGCATGTCCACGGCATCAGAAAGTAGTAAACATAGCTCGAGAAAATACGTCCCAAGATGGCCAGAGACAATCCCGTGAAAGTGTATCCAGCATATGCCACGATGTCGAGCAAAGGTGCCTCTCCACTACCCAATGAAAACAAAGTCATTTTCAGCAGTGTGACTTGCAAAAACCAGCCCACCACCCCCTTGATGAACAGCCAGTTCAAAGCTTCTGGGCTGAACCTGGCAAGCATTACAGGGATATTTAGATAAATAAAGGGATTTTCCCCATTTGGCAATGAGTGACAGATACAGGAATCGGTGAAGATTGTGGTGGACAATATTTTTAATTTACAAACAGCAGAATGGCAACTTAGACTAGAGAACAAGCAAGAGAGTGAGAGGGGTATCATGCAGGAAAACACTCCAGTAAACTACATCATCATAGATATTTCTTGATGGCAAAATAAAAGAGGAACATAACCAATGACGAACGAGAAAAAGAGAAGATGAAACAACAAAATGACCACAACTCATTAATGCTGACAGCTTTACCGACAAAGTACCTTAAACTTTTTGATAGGGTGGTTTAACACGGTATCAATCATTGGTTTTAAGTACCATCTCCACTCATTTATGCAACACTCATCACATACCTATATGATTATGTGTTATTTGTCTAAACTTACACAAAAAACATAATTGAAATAAATTTTTATTTTAAAAATACATGCGCACACACACACACGCACGCACGCACACACATATATATATAAACACTCTTATATTGCCAAACTTAGTCTCCACATGTTATATCCATTCAAATAAAAAAAATACAAAAGAGCCACCGAAATAGAAATATTAAATCCTAACATATCAAGTTTGAATTCCATAACAAATGTGTTCATAAATTTCTAAGATCCGGTCTACACATGAGGGGTTTGTTGAAGACATATTTACAAACAAGCCTACATTCAGGAAGAATTTATAGATGGTTTAATTTATAAATAAAGAAATAGGTAGTGGATAATTAAATAGTACTTGTGACCACTGGAATATGTTGTTGAAAATGAAGTTTGACAATTTATAAATTTCACCAAACGGAGGCTAAATAGATTTTCACTCTACATTTAAGCTTTTAAATGATGTCGATTGATAGAATGGAACATAGCACATGCACAAAAATCCTTATTAATTTACAGTATCATAGCAAGTATCTCAAGATAGAAATGGGAAAAAGATATACTACCAAAAACAATTCAATTCCCAAGAGTGCCATCATGTGTTCCCATACACCCAGGGCGAAAAAGCTGGCTCAGAGGCAACCAATTACAAGCTAAAAGAAAACATTCAAACAAGTGCAAGATTGGTTCCACAAACTTACTTTCCATGCAGGCCCAGTGAAAAGCCAGCCAGAACAACATAGGTACCAAATGCCATGAATGGAATATACAAGTCTGGTGCATTTATATCATAAATGGGGGGTTTGTAGGAAAGCCTGCCACCCACTGGCTCTGTGATTCTTGTCCAATGGCCCTAAAGGAAAATAGGAGGATCAGAGAACTACTATTGAAGGAACAGTGATGCCAAAAAGAAGCAGAAATTATAAGGAACAAATTGAAGATAACATAGCAAGAGGAAAAAATTCTTACTCTGTGCAGAAACGGGAAGAGAACAACCTTCAATTTATTCCTTACATATTGGTCATTGACTTGGAAATAGTATTGAGGGTCAGAAAAGTATCTGCTAATCTGTTTGTGCAAAGAAAGTTCAGAAACAAAATTAAATGAGAATCTTTCGACATGTCGAATAGATAATAACAATGACAAATCCCAATTATCAGGATCCAGAAATGGGATGATTGATGATCTAAAGCTACCTAACGCCCTTTGAAGCATATGTAGATTAATTCCAAATGTCTCATCACAATACTTGTAAGATCCTTACATTGCTTTGCACATATTCAGAGCTGGATCCTAAAATTCTCTCTCCATAAGCACCTAGTCCACCTCTAATGAATCCTGAACCAGCACCATAGAATGAATTCGCGAAAGGACTTGGCTGTGCGTTGGTAGGTAGTCTTGGCACCCCTGGCTGTGCTCCTAAATTATCATACATTTCTGCAACTAAACATCCACTAGGTTATGATTTCACTTACATTTTTGCCAAATTAATAGCCAACAGGTAAAAGAATATCCACGAAAAGAGAGGATGCTTTCGCAACATTGACAAAGGGAAAGCATAAGTCAAGCAATTAAAGATCATAAATGCTCAACCAAAGAATATCAACTTCATGTTTAAAATGCCTTGCATATATTGGCAATTCATGTTCGATAGCTTCAAATTTATCAGGTTTTCCAAGAAAAAAACAACAGTCAAATATCCAGAGATAAACTTTAAGATAGAGCTTGAAAATTTAAGTTGGAAGAAATTCTGACTCAGTACTACAGACTAAAATCTACGGGATCCATCTACAGATTTCTATTGCAGTAGATTTTGAATCCTGGACGGGATTAGCCAAGAACTTTATGAACTATACTTTCATATACATTAAATCAGTTGTAAATAAAATCAATGTATTAGATTATTTTCATTTTAGTGTGTACATGGATTTTATCGACTTTGAAAACCATTCGAGTCTAAAAACAGTGCATATTATATCGGTTTACATTTATTTCTCTATACCTAAAATCATCCACCAAAATTCCAAATGAAATTCTATGCTTCTGTGACCATTTATCCAAATTTGCGGCACATTGGATTGAAAACAGTATTCTGAACTAATTAAAATCAAACGATAACCAAATTAGTGCACTACGTGCAGTGAGGGATTAAGAAATTTAAGCCAACTCAGCTAATGGAGAACTGGCATACCCAATTTTTTTCCCTCGCCTTCTCGGTGTCCAAGAACAGCAAAATCTCTAAGAGTCAATGCATATCTATTGGAATAATGTCCAACTATTTGGAATTCTCAGTGACATATGTCTGAAACTTTTTCTTATAGGCAATTAAAGCATTAACTTCGAGGTAAGAAGGTTCTAATCTATTACACTGGACTCAGATTGCAGAAATTTTCAGCCAAATTTTATTGCAACCAAAGAATATAACTGAATACAAATTGAATTATTTAGAACTCATAAATATAACTTGAAGTGAAATTCGGATTTCAACATCAGAAGTGATGCAAAAATACATAATCATGATTTGCACGACAGATTTATTTTCATAACTACCAAAAGGGGCTGAATTTAGTGCATATACATGAGAAGTCAGATTTAAAGCGTCACTAAATAATATAATTATAAATGTTCCCACGCAATTTACACCCAACTATACATTTCAGGAATATCTAAAGCAATTTGAAAGACTAATTCCAAAATAGAAATTCAAAAAAAATAAAATAATAATGATAAATAAAAAATCTAAAATACAAGATTTAGGTCTCCCTTTTTCTTGCCTTAAAACAATAAAACGGCTCCCTCCAATCTCCACACCACGCTAACTTAAAAGTTTCGATCTGTGCCCAAAACAAATCTGCAAATTTCAAATCCGTATGCAGTTACTCAAAATTTCACACTATCAATAGTAAAACATAGCACGAACAAGTGAAGATGTCATTAAATAATACATGAATCAGATATTGCTCCCGAAAAATTACTCTACTCTAAATCGTATATCCAAATTTATGCACCGTAGAACTAATTATTCAAAATACACCAATAAAAATGTTCAGAATTGATATGCGTACCAGGGCGTGTAGAGTATGAAATCGAGAGATTTATCGGGAAATTTTAAACTTGATACTGTTTTTTATTATTTATGTTATGTTCTTTTGTTTTTATATAATTTATGTGTGGGCGTAAAATCGAGTCCATTGCATGATTTTCTAATCGGATTAAATTCATTAATGACCATTCAACTTTATACTTAGTATCATCATCATCATTCAATTTAATTTTATTTCATTATGACCATCTAACTTTATATTTAATAATTTTATTTCATAGTAATCACCCAATTTCATATAATATTTCATTATGACCACTTAATTTCATATAACATTTTCAACATATCCATCTAATTTATTTTTACCATTTTCACTAATTTTCAAAAGGGATAAAATGTTAACTTTGCATTATATATATAAAATAAATTTTTTAAAAATAAAAATAAAATAAAAAATTATTTTAAAATTAAAAAAAAAACTTTTATTTTTTAAATTTTATTTTATATATAATACAAAGTTACCATTTTACCCATTTTAAAATTAGTGAAAATGGTTGAAAGAAATTAGGTGACCATGGTAAAATTTTTTATGAGATTATGTGGCCATAGCGAAACATTGTATAAAATTGGATGATCATGATGAAATAAAATTAAATTGGGTGGCGATGCTAACACTAAGTATAAAGTTGGATGGTCTTGGTGAAATAAAATCAAATTTGGTGGTCATGGTAACACTAGGTATAAAGTTGGGTGGTCATTGGTGGATTTAACTATTTTCGAGCTAATTTCTCTTATTTGTAATTTATTTTATTTTTTCAACAACTCATTTTTAACTACATATTTTCATAATAATTTTTTTTTTCGAAGCCTGAAAAGACTTTCATGTTGCAAATCTATCCTTTCGTAAAAAAAACATATACTGACCTGCCCAATAATTTTGAATAGTGCTATTCACAATTGCTCACTATTAATCTTGGACATGGTCGTGTTTGGGTTGGTTTTGACTCCACTTCGAAATCAAAACCAAATTTATTGATTTTGGTGAATTTCAACCTAAATCAACCAACTTTAACTCTTAAATAGAATCGAACCAAACCGATTTGATTTGGTTTAGTTCGATTAGTCGGTTTGGATTTTTAGTCAAAATTGAATTAAAAAAAAAAATTGTCCAAGTTTTGGGCCTAATTAGATTACAAAAACTAAAATAACTAAATGACTATTTTATTGCCCTTTTATGCATAGGAAAATTACCTAGAAACCTACCTTTAAAGACTAATTTTAAAAAATAGAGGGTTAATTTTAATTTCAAAATTCAGGTGGAATTAGATTTTAATAATTATAATTAATAAGATATTAATAAAACTTAATCTACATATACCACCCACGCACTCCAGTGACTCCATCCCCATTTCAGTTCATTCCCAAATTGTAAGTAACCCTAACCATCTCTCTCTATTAGCTTCTCTCTCTATGCCATCTCTCTCTCTCTATCACTTTCTCTACCATCAGCCACCTAAGCCTCTCCTTTTCCGACGCCACAAAGTTCATCGACCACCGCGACCAAAAAAGCCACACACCAGCCACAGCTTCTCTTGCAACATCGCTTGCCGCTGCTTGCAGAAGCAATGGTGAAGACTAGTAATAACTCGAGCCTTCTCATCGGAGATTTCTTTACTTATCTATCCTGTCTTACATCGCCGGAAAACGATCTGACCGCTCTCATGGCCGGAGCAGCAGCAGTTTGTGGTGGTTTTTTAGGTAATTCTCAGATGGCTTTTGGTGGTTTTAAGTTGATTTTGCGATAGTTTTGAGGTGGTGCTAGCAGTGTTTTTGAGGAATGCAGAAAATTATCAAAATACAACGTTGATCTATTGGAATTCCCTTTAAATTTAGAGTATCTGGTAGCTGAATTCTTCTCATGGTGGTGGTGTGTTGTGAGTGCTTTGTACAGTGGTGCTATGACGATTTTTCGGGTGCTGTGGTGGTGATAATTGTGGGAGATAGTGGAATAGATGCAGTGGTGCTCATGGTGGTATTGGGGTTGCGATGATTTTCTGATCTGTTGTTCTTTGGTGGTGATGGTGGGTTGTGGCTTGATATTGATCTGGTCACAAACAGTCACTTTGAATATAATTTTGATCACAGATAGTTACACTGAAGGCAAAGTTGGTCACAGTTAATTACATGTATGTGGTGTGTGCAGATTTGTTTGTGGTGACCCTATACGACCAAGTATGTGCTTGTTGTGACTGTTTGTGACCAATTTTGTATTGATTGTGACTAGTTGCGACTTGAGATTGGTATAGTCACAGACAGTCATACTAAATACAAATTTGGTCACAATTAGTTACAAATGACACAGATATGGTCACAGATGTCACAGGTGCAAATCTGATCACTTACAATGCACCATTACGACCATCACAATTTTTTTGGAGATTTTTCAACACTAGGGTGTAGAGAGAAATTGTTTTCAAATTTTGGAGATTTTTCTAATGGCGAGCCGGAACAGTGCTTGGAATAGTTACCGAAGTAGTCACTGGAGTGGTCATTGGAGTAGTTTGCTGGAGTGGTTGTTGGAGCAGTTTGCCAAGGTGATTGCTGAAATAGTTGTCGGAGCGACCACCGGAGTAATCGTCGAAACCGTTGCCGGAGTGGTCACCGAAGATGATAGCCATCTTTGGTGGAGGGATGGAGGAAAGGTGGTGTAACAAGGTGATAGGATGAGGTGGATGGCATGGGTGGAAATAATTAATGGATATTGTATTATAATTTAATATTTAATAAATTTGTTTACCACTTGATTTTTGAAATATTTCATTGGGTTTCTTTTTTATGAAATGTGATCTTTAAAATTATGAGTTATGTGATCTTCCCTTTATGCATTATATAGTCTGACCGTATAAATAGGAAAAAAAGGCTAGGTAATAATGAGCTTGTGAAATGAAATTTCTAGCATTATTACTTATCGGTAATATTATAGATTGGAGGAAATCGTGATATACTTATTAGATTAGGGCTTATCTTTTGAAAAAATATAAAACAACCAACATTTTAAAGTTTCAAACCATGATCACACCAACCCACCATAATTTTGTTTAAAAGAAAACCAAACCAATTACCAGTGTAGTTTTTAGATTTTTTTGCCCAGGCCTATCACTATAACAATCACCTTACATGACGTACGCATAACAAGTGGTTATTTGATACATATGACGACTATCGTAGTAAACAATTACAAATAGCATCTCTATAATTTTCCGTGAATTAATCAATCGTACTGTTGATGCATTTGTTCATGTTATTAAACTCTCTAGCGAACCCAAGACAATTAAATTTATGACAAATTGATTTGTCATAATAAAGTGATTCAAATTAGATTTAGGCAACATAGTTATTCAACTCTTGTTGGCAAACATCAGTGTTGTAAAAATTCGGACCAATGACTTAAAAACAGTTTTTAACAATTTTTAAAATGTATGACTGTGATACTCACAAGTGTGAAGTTGTCAACCAAAGTTGGAAAAGTAAGCATGATTCTCTAGATAATTTCCTTACAGTAAACGTTTATAGATGACCGAGACACTGCCATTCAAGCAATAGATGGGAGACTAGTGATAAGAGTTGCCCGTCAACATTCACATCAAAATAAAAAAAATCACAGCAGTACCGACAAAACAAACAAATATGTAGATAAAATTTACATGGATTTTTTAACCATGGGACTATCCCATTTTGACATATTTACATGCCAAAGTACAGTAACTGCACAGAAATGGGATAAATAATGAAATGCCTCTATTAAACTACTTTCTACACGTATGTCAATCACTCTACTCTAAACGACTACAGTAAATAAACACAAAAATTATGGGTGCTAAATTTGCTTGGCATATATCTCATGATTGCCAAAACAAGTCAAAGTCATTAACATACAAGGAACGATCTTGAATCTCCAAATTTGCGACATGCCAATTAATGAGCTTCGATTGGATACATTTACATAAAACTAGTGCAAGAGGAAAAATCCACCACTCACTTTCATCCCTGCATAACAAACATGGGAGAAGCATAAGAACAATAGAATGCTGATGAATTTAATATGAAAAACTTGGAATTTGTCTTACATATTCCATGGCTGAATGAATGGAATTTTCTTCCTAGACTGCGTGCTATAGTGAACATATCCACAAAGAAATGCAACACCCTGCGTATACCAACAAAACCAAGTAAATTGGAATGCAAGCCAAATTAGATTGAAATCCACGAGTTGAAAAATTAAATCTCTCCAATCAAGAGGCCTCGAAACAAGTGGAAAGTGCAAGCATCATTGATAAGATAAATAAGAAACGGTAATGGAAAGTAACTATTCTTCAATCTGGAACCTCAAACATGACTAGAAGTCTTTGAAGAAAAATAACCACTAAAAAGCAAGCCAAAACATACCCAAGAAAATATGATATCGCACCACAGATATCAAGGATACACTTACAATATTTATCAAAGACGTGATGTTCCACAAAGCATATACACGTGCAAGACCTGCTGATCGCCTTGGTCCATGACTGAATAAAGCATTGATTCCAGCAGGGAAAGGAAGCAAAATCCCAAGAGGCAAAATGAACAAAACAAGAAAGACATCCGCCAGGGAAAGTGAAAACAGCTGGAGTAACGTGAGCAATACTAAGCTAAAATCTCCTAAAAGCAGTATAGAGATGACCAAACCAACAAGATCCTGTAGCAAATGATGTACAGCAAGTTTAGGAAGGGAACAATAATAAATAACCAGAATGGCCATGTAGGATGCACAATGTCCTACGACCAGCCAGCCAAAAAGAAAATAAAGCCAACCAGGGTTTCTTCTTTTCTTGGGAAGAGAGAGATACCTGGTGGCCAACAGGTTTGGTGTTATGAATTAGAAAAGAGAGCAAAAATAGTATATCTCTTTTCTCCTTAAGCATCTTCAAACTGTTAATATCTAAAACCCCACCATAAATCTTCCGTCTTAAGTTACTCCCGCTGGTTCTCTGACCGTGGCTTAAAAATGTCCCCCCTCCTGTATATATACCACTGTAAAAGAAAATTGGAAAAAAAATCAAGAAATAAGATCAAAACTAAAAATGTGTGGTTATTCTACTCTTTTTAGTCC